TAGGGGGGGGCGTGTGAGGCGGGGCCCCGATCCCGGCCCCAGCTGCGCGCGACCCCCTCAGCGCCGGGAGGAGGAGGGAGGGGGGGTGGAGGGGGGCGCGCCTCACCGCCGCCAACAGCCGGCCCGGGCCGCCCTCGCTCGCTCGCTCCCGCCCTCTTCCGCTCGGCGCCTCTTCCTCCTCCGCCTCCTCCTCCGCGGTCGGTCTCCTCCGGACTATGGCGGCGGCGGCGGCGGCAGCGGAGACGCGACGACAAGATGGCGGCTTCCTCCCTTCCTGGCGTTCTTCCTCCTCCTCGGCGCAGGCCCCGCCCCGGGCCCCGCAGGCCCCGCCCCTTCACCCCGGCGCGCTTCCCGGATCACGCCGAGCCCTGCCGCGCGTGCGCAGGAGGACCGGCGCGCCTGGCCTGGAGCAGTCGCGGCCGAGGGGAGGAGGGGGAAAGGGCGGGGCGTTCGCGCGGGGAGCCTCTGCTGCGCGTGCGCCGTTGGGCGCCACGGCCTCCTCGGCGGGCTCCGCTCTTCGCCGCCCGCTCAGACATGTCCCGGAGCCGCCTGGGCGCTCCTCCCGGAGGGAGGGCGGGAGGGGCCGGGCGGTGGCCTCCTGGGTGACGGAGAGATCGCCGGGGGGGGGGGGGTTGTCTCTGGGTCCAGGCGGCTAATGAATTAAAACGCGCGGTTTAAAAGCCATTAAAGCCAGCTCACGAATGCCAGTTGAAAAAGGAAGATCAAAGACTGTTCGCGGCAGATCAAATGGTCATATAAACATCCTAGAATTAGTTGCAACATCTTATATAGAAGCACTGCAAGGGGTGGGGGGGGGTAAACTTTCCAAATTCACAAGGATATTATAGTGCCATTCATTACATGACGACTCTGACCAAATTCAAAAGTTTGCTTTTTACACCACACCCTTTGAGGTACAGGAAGTTATCTGGCAATTTCCTTCAAGTCGGCCCAAACAAGTTCACAATAGCCCTCTACTCACAACGATGTTAACATGTTGGGATTGTATGAGGCTTGTTTTACTGCCACCCATCTCATGATACCAGTCTTTTTTGAATCGATCCTGGTTTGTGCCAGGCTGTAATAATCTGGCATTCAACACTTGGAAATCGGTTAAAGTCACCACTCTGCAGGACCTCACATCTAAGCAGTTGTTATTGCCTAAAGTATCTCTGGAAACTAAATTAAAAACCAAAGTCCCTTGGATGCAATATTTTCAAATCTCGCGTCTCTGTACTATAATTCGTCTTCACTCCATCTTAAAAATACTGAATTTGAATTGATTCTTCAACCCGCTAGCATCTCTCAGAAAGGTCTAATCTCTAAGATACACAAAGTTCTATCATCAAAAGGGAGCACTACACTTCTGTCCTATCATGCTCTGCGGCACAAGGATTGTAACCACAATCTCTCAGAGGAATCTTGGAATCAGATTTGGGCCTCTTCTCCATTCTATTCTAAAATCACAGCAGTAAAATTACAATCCTTCAAAATATTGTCACACTGGTATCTTACATCACAGAAACTGGCTCACATAAATCCATCATATAGTCCAAAATGCTGGAAAAAATGCAGCAACGTGGGAAACTATTTACGCTGTTGGGCCTTTTGCCCCAAAATTCTTCCTTTCTGGACTGCTGTTCTAAATCAAACCTATCACACATATAGACATTTCTCCTAGGCCAAAAAACTTGTTTTTGAATGAATGGGCTACTAATGAGATCTCGTTTTCTAACAAAGAAAGGGTCTATTTTATACTTTTTGTAGCTAAAACTGTCATTGCTGCACACTGGAAAACGGCAATGACACCCACACTTTCACAATGACATAAAAAGTTGTGGGATTTATATATCATGGCAAAACTCTCCGATGATCTTACGCGTTTTGATAAGCTTCCCGTCTCTTCTACTTTTGTTCCAACATGGTTTCATGTGTTAGAATACCTCACCACCCAACAAGACATTCCCAAAGTAATTGATGACCTGTGGTTGTGGTAATGCTTTTCAATGTATGATTGTTGCTACTGATGACATCCCTATGTGTTAGGACTACCTCTAGTTAATGGATGGTACCCCATTGTTGTTATTTATTCCGATACGTTTTTTGTTGATCTAAATCTTAATATGCACAATATTCTGTTGGTCTTTATCTACATGTTGTTCTAGCACTTTGAATGTTTCTGTGTTTGCATTGTTAACAATCTTACCAAAATTTCAATAAACTTTATTGTATATTAAAAAATGGGTGGCCCTCAAGTAGGGCACCGGTCCCTGCAGGGAAGGACCCTGCGTTGCACAGGCCTGGCAGAGATGGTCCGCAGAGGCCTTGCCACAGGCTCAGTTCTTCCTGGCATGTGCCGCCTGCTGCTTTCTGGGCCTTCCTGTGTCTCTCCTCAGACTAACTTGCCCTTAAAGCAAGAGAAAACTGGAGTGGCCACAGGAGAGTTCCTTTGCATGGCTGATTACTTTTTTGCATGGAAGATTACCTTTTTGCAGCTAGGTGGAATTGAAACGGGATTCACATGGCACGTTATTGAGAGGGCACTCAGTTTCCTACTAACCCACGTGGACAAGAATCACGCTGTACCTCTACTCAGAAGCCTCAGCAGCCCCTGAACTGTCTTCCCTTTTCAACCCTGCAAGTTCATTAAAGGTTTTTTCTTTTGATTGCCAGACAGTCAGTCTGGGGAGCAAAAGCCGGACAGGGAGGAATCCACCAACACTTGAACAAATTGAACACGTGAAGCTGCCCTATACTGAATCAGACCCCCCACACACACACACACACACGGTCCCTCAAGGTCAGTCCTGTCTGCTCAGACTGGCAGCGGCTCTCCAGGGTCTCCGGCTGAGGTCTTTTGCATCACCTACCGCTTGATGCTTGATCCTTACTGGAGATTGTAGAGATTCAAACGGGGACCTTCTGCATGCCTAGCAAATGCTCTGCCACTGAGCCACAGCCCCTCCCCACATAGTTTCTGATGACGATGTCTGGATTCTTCTTTAAAACTCGGTGAATGGATTATGGCAATGAAGAAGAGGAGGAGGAGGAGGAGATTGGGTTTATACCCCACCCTTCACTACCTGAAGGAGTCTCAGAGAGGCTTACAATCTCCTTTCCCTTCCCCTCCTCACAACAGACTCCCTGAGAGGTAGGTGGGGCTGAGAGAGCTCTGACTGAGAACTGCTCTAGAGAGAACAGCGCTGAGAGAGCTTGTGACTGACCCAAGGTCACACCAGCAGCTGCATGTGGAGGAGTGGGGAATCAAACCCTGTTCTCCCAGATTAGTGTCTGCGCTCTTAACTGCTACACCAAACTGGGCATTATTGTGACCAACTTTGTGGCCAGTGAGTGACACCCCTCATCTGCCCCCAGCTCTCCTTATCTCTGTTTTATCTGGGATGAGATCAGAGGGGGGGTGGCAGCTGGGGCTGGCCGGCCTCTGCATCCCAGAAGGAGGGAGAGATGACAGGGGCCGGAGCAGGCAGGGGGAAAAGACAAGCCAAGAGGAAGGGCTCAGGGTGTGGCCAAGGGGTTGGGCCACAGGGGGAAAGAGATGCTTTCCATCCTTTCGGGGCTAGAAAACAGAGGAGTCAAGAAGCCGTGTGTGGGGGGTGGGCTGTGGAGACGCAGGCTGGATCCCAGTCAGGCAGCTTCCTGGGCAGACCTCACCAAAGGGGCCTCGGCTCAGACACAACGCCACACACAAGGAGGCCTCTGGTTTCTACCCCAGGCCCACCACCACCTGCCGGGACCCTGCGGAGACTTCTGGCCACCCCGTGTCCTCCGGGAAGCCTGTCAGATTCATTCCTACTGCCCTGGGGGCTTGTTCTGACCCTCCTGGGTCAGACATGCTGTAAGGCAGGGGGGGGGATGTTCTGATATTTCTCCAGTTAATTTTTGCGTGATGCACATAGACAGGCCCTCGATACACCATGGAGGAGCTGAGGGTTTAGAGCCAGCCCTCCACAGGTTATAAGTTCACATTTAGTCCTTTGTGAGGCTAAACGGGGCGGCCGCAGTGAGACCTTGGATGAGAAACCACCAAGGAAGTCCAGGGTTGTGACAGGGAGGCAGGTGGGCAACGGCAAACCACCGCTGGATGCCACTCGCCTTAAAGACCCCATGAGGGTCACCATGAGTTGGCTGCAGCATGGCAGCAAAAAAAAAAAAAAAAAAAAAAAGATGCACTAGGTGCGGTCAGATGGCGTGCGGAGAGCGGGTTAAACTGCTCTGGTTCTAACTGGATTATATTTGATCGGGATAATTGCGGTCACACTTACCTCCCTTATCCCGCCTCACCGCGCAGTCACGCCGCTCCCCGGCGGCTACACTGCTGACGCACGGGAGTGTGTGTCGGCGGTTTTTTAGAAGAAGAAGAAGAAGATATCAGATTTATACCCCATGCCCCTTCACTACCCAAAGGTGTCTCAGAGCGGCTTACAAACTCCTTTCCCTTCCCCTCCCCACAACAGACACCCTGCGAGGTAGGTTGGGCTGAGAGAGCTCTGATAGAAACTGCTCTTTTTCAGGAACAGCTCTGACAGAACTATGGCTTGCCCAAGGTCAACCAGCAGCTGCAAGTGGAGGAGTGGGGAATCAAACCCGGCTCTCCAAGATTAGAGTCCACGCACTTAACCACTACACCAAACTGGCTCTCTTTTAAAAAAAATTTCCTCAGTTTGCGCATGCGCATAGGCGCCCCTCCATAGAAGGGGGGGAACTATCATGGCGCGTGCGCAGAACCACCAGGGCAAATCAACCCAACCTCTCCAACAAAAGACTTCCCTTTAAATGTTTGACACGAAAATGGCCTCCGCGATATCCCGAACTCATCTAAACGCTAGAACAAGTGACCATTTAAATGTTGGTTTTCTAAACGCGGTGGCGTAGCTCCGCCTATGCGCACACTGCCAACGCATTAAAAAATGGCGGGTGAAAAGCGGAAGCCTCAGGCAGCTTTCGAGTGGGGGGGGGGTTTAAACCGGAAGTAGCTCGACACTGCAGGAGCAATTAGACGTCAGAAAAGTGCGGCTGGAACTGGAGAATCAGGAAAACACCACTTGGGGACCTGGTAACAAAATACTCAATTTTAAAAATGGTTTGAGCCGCAAAGCAACGGCTGGGGACGGTGCGCAGATGTTGAGTGTGTGTACGTGGATATAAAATCCGTTAC